TATGGGGATGTTGTTATAATATACCCAAAGCCATATTCTGTCTACTTACGGGGGACTATAACCACTTCTTTTCTACCATTTTGCCTTTCTGGGGCTGCTGCCTAGAAGCACTTAAACCAGCTTGGCTTGAGCCTTGATACTAAACTGTGGCCTAGGCCAGGTTTCTACCCTTTGTGGGAGACCGGCCCAAGAATTCCCTCCCCCTGAAAAGAAGCCCCCACGAATTAATGAATACCCCCAACCGCTCTACATTTCAGGGAACATGAGGAAATACTTCTTTTCATGTGGGGTGCTCAAGGTGAGCAGTCTGCTGATGAGGGCCTCTTGACGCTTTCGGGTTGAAGATGGCATCCAGCACGGCCAGACCCACGTCATCTCCTCACCAAGTATTTGCAACCACGGATTGTCCTCTGGACTAATCTTGCGAGTTCAGCATTGCAACAGATATCTGTTCTTCACCTGTATAACCCCTAACTAAATACTCCCCTTTTTTCACAATCCCCGAATTCTATAACTCCCTTTAAGGAGTTTAGAGTAAAGCTAATCTGGTCGACTTCTGGCGCTCTACCCTGAGGATGCTTCGGCTGATCTTTTTCCCAACGTCGCTGTCGCGGAGGCGCAGCCTCACTGTCTGAGCAGACAGGCAGTTCAAGGCTTTGGCAAAATCTACAGCCCCACCCCCTCCTTTAAGTAGATAGAATATGGATTTCCCCGAAACCATAATGAGATCCCATATATCATATACCCATATACCCATATTCTATCTTCTGAAGGGGGACTACAAACAAGGAATCAAGCCGTCTGCACAAACTAGGTCTCTCTGAGATTCGTGCGAGTCTGGCTTTGCAAAATAGATCCCGCCCACCTGGACATCTCATAATGAAGGGGTTATGTGGGGTTATTCCGGGTTATATGGGGTTTAAAAAGGGCTTCTTAAAAGGTTATGTAGGGGTTAAAACGGGGCTAGATACGGTCATGTAGGGGTTGTATAGGAGCTTCATAGGGCTGTATGTGGATTTTACAGGGTGATATAGGAGTTATATTGGATCTGTTTAGCTGCTTGCAATCTGGAAGTTTCTCGAAACATCCCCAAACTGATCCCTTGTGGGGGCCCCCAGCATCCCTAAATATAATTCAAAGATATCACTATGTTCGGCTAAGTGTTCCCTCATCATGGACAAAAACTCCATCTGCTAAGCAAGCTGCATCTCTGGGAAAGTCATTGGTCATCGGAACCTCAGCCAGAATGCTCCGCCGTAAGCAGACCCCTGTGAGTATAGCATAATGGAACTAATGGTAATTATGTACGCAAATAAAAATCATAGAAGCGGCTCTGTAATGATAACATATTGTAACCATTCCAGTACCACCAGAAATCTGACAAGAATAACAACACTGCACCCAGAGAAAGAATGTGGACGCTTAGAGTCTTGCGGGGCGAATGATGGTGTAGTCGAGACCTGACCTCTGACAGGAACGCACAGGCAATTTCACGGTTGAAGGCGGAGTGGCTGAGACCCCTCTGAGGGCATGGCTGCTTGATATACTCCTCCGCTTCAAGCTTCTTCTCGAGAACGCTCCCGAAACTGCAGCAGGCAGAAAATGCTTGCTAAGAGGCGCAGACTCTTCTGATCGCACACCGCGTGTGGCAATATGGCAGTTTCCGAAAATAGGTGGACCCCAACATAGACCCCAATATACTCTAATCCTTATTTTGGGACAATAATGGTACCACTAAGTCTGGGAAACCCCCATATTCCTCCAGGCAACCTGTTCCAGTTCTTGTAGACGTCGCTTCCCGTGACCTCATCCTGAGCCAGGCGATTTGTCGACGCCGACGCCATCTTTTCTGAAATCTGATAAAAAGAATATTACTATTCTTACTATTATTAATCGTTGCTACTTTTACTACTATTACTACAATTATTTCTACTCTTACTATGTATTATATGATATAGGATTATACACGGATTATGTAGGGGTTATGTAGGCCTTTATGTGGATTATCAAAGGGGCTATATGGGATTATATAGGGGTTCCACGGGGATATATCATATAAAGCTATGTATATATGAGGAGTATACGCGGGTCATATGTGGGTATACGGTCTCACTGGAAAATCACAGTGAAACTGGGATTCTATAGGGGTTGAGGGACTCGCAAATAGACAAATCAAAGTGAGGAGCTTCACTTTGCCTGCAATGACTGGGTTGCTGTTCATGAACTTAAATTAAGTTACCATACTGGGTATATTTAGTAAATACTGTAGGTTTTCCCAAAGATGGTAACTTAAACTAAGTTCCCTAATAGAAACCCAGATGAATGCATGCCGACAAGAAGGAATTCTTCTCATGGTGCTCAGTCCATGGAAGTGCTCCAGGAACTCATGTCAAAAGCGGGGGCCCGCTATGCAACCACGCGCATACATAGACGTATCTTATCAGCAGGTCCCCCAAAATGAGGACAGCCTCATGCTTGCCACAGCCAGGGGTGGATGCGGTCATTAGAATATGGTAGTTTCCATTTTCTTTTCCGTTATCCCAATATAACCCCTATATAACCCTATATAACCCTGTATAACCCTATATAATCCCTAGTAGTTTCCATGTTATTTTCCATTATCCAATTTTGGTAATTATTTAGGCCCCTGTAGCAAGCCATCTCTAAGCCAAGCACTCCAAGGTTCTTACCGTTGACGAGAATTGCAGACCTTGGACATGCAGTTGCATGCTGATAGGGCTTAGGGTTTTCTGTAGGGGTTAAATATGGAGGTTATATGGGGGTTATATGGGGATAATGGAAAAGAAAATGGAAACTACTATTATAATGGAGTATATATGCTGAGTTCTGTGCTTCTTATAGACGACCTCTTCTTAAGATAGTGATACGGGAATACCCGCTGTTCCCCCGACGGTTGAATTCTGTCATAACTGCTCCTGCAGCACTAAAAGCATGACAGCTTGCAGAACAGTATGTAAGTCTCACCAGTGCTAAACTCTATACTCCACTATATTATCCCCCATATACCCCCCTTAATGGAATTTAGACCCTAAGAGCTTAGACCCTTTGTTGAACCAGTACTCTCTGATGTTTGAAACCTTATCTTTAATACCCAGAACCCTACATAACCCCCCTTTAAGGAGTTTAGACCCTAAACCCTATATATTCCCCTATATAACCCCCTTAAGGAGTTTTCACTATAGCTCACATGTTCAGCCTGGAAACGACGCTTAACCTCGGCAGCAGGGAGCCGCCTAAGGGGTCGGTATAAAGATGAGACACCTTAGGTGGATCCACCCCCACCCATTAATTATGGGCTTAGGGTTTAGGGTAATAGTGACTATAAAGGATAATGGGGATTATACTTGGGCCTTCTTATATTCCTATTATACCACTCTTCCAGGGTGGGGGTTCACACTAAGAGAAACATTTGAAAACAGGTGGCAGTGCTGAGGCCGGGGCACGTAAATGAACTTCTTTACACCTGAGCCGACCCCTTTACATTGGCAACTATGACAGCTATTGCCCCGATAATGATGGACAGAAGAGCAGCAGCTGCGTAGCAATGCTTGCACGATTAACTACAGATGCGTTAGCTGTCGTCTGCTGCTGCTCCTGCAGCTGGCTGGTGCTGTTGGCGCAGTTAGCGCTGGCTCTGCTGCCAATGATAGCACTCAGAGACACCTCTCAAAATCCAGCTCTTTGTCCCGACATTCTTGGCCTCTGTGCGTTGGCACGCCGGAGTCTGTACGCCCGTGCGTTTGGCATGCCTTTGAGGGCAAAGCCTTTGCACCCTCACAGGTCGACAAAAATGAGCTCTGCACAACAAAGCCACAAACCTGTTGATCAGATTCATGCTGCTCACCCTGCAGCTGCTTTGAAGAAACATTTGCTCCGGCCTCAAAACAGACAGGCAACCTTTGAGACAAGGTTCTGGCTTGGCCAGATTGCTGTCACGAAAGGGCCATCTGCTCTGTACAAGCTGCTTTGCTCTCGGGAGTAGCTGTATGGCTTCAGCGGGATTCTGATGAGTGTGGTCCACAATAATAGGATATTCTCAAAAATATCCCCAGGTAGTAGACTTAGTAGAAAGTGAAGGAATAAATCCCAATGGCAGTTCCGACAGCCCCAAGGGCGCCCAAAGCTTCCCAGACCCCTGGGAGGATCTAAAAATTAGATCCTCTATATAGACCCATTATAGCCCCTACATAATCCTTATGTTCTTTCCCGCATGGTTCTAGGGCATCTAATTTTTAGATCCCTTTGGGGGTCTGGGTTCCTATGCTATCCTCCTGGAAGGCCGCGCGCGCGGGCGACTTTGTCTCGCAATCTGCCAGGGCAAACTGGCTGTGCGTTTAGGCAAAGGTGCAGCAACAGGGGCTCCTCAGTAGACGTACGTGCGGTAGACATAGGAAGTGCATTAGAAGTGTGTGAACCTTGCCTTTTACCTGGAACCCTAAACCCTAAACTCCCTAAACCTTGTAGACACGGGCTAGAGCCTAGATGACATTGTTGTGACCACGCCTTTGGCCAAGGTGGTGGCGGAGCTTGGGGCTCCACGCGACCTGGGCAGCGAGCACTTGCTTTGCGGGATTCCGGTCTGTAATCTCTGTGTGCATTATTATTTCCTTGACAGAACAAAGGCAAGCGGGTTCAGGAGGAGACCGATGAGAGGATGGTACCAGAACACACCCTAAGCCTCTACAAGATTCCTTGACTGTCTGGTTGTTAGCAGCGCCAGTAGGGCGTCGTAGGGCCAGTACGGAACATGGGAGAGAATCTCCAGTCAAGGCCCAGAGGCAGATGTCAGAACCCATAAACGTTCACGGAGATAAACGTCACAATCCTAGCCCTACAGAAGGAAAATAGACATGGGCAACTCTTGTCCTCTCTTCACTGGGAGAAATGGAAACGAATATCACAACAGGAAACACCTATAGTCCCCTTAAGTTGATAGAACATGGGATATGGGGGTTTAGTATAATATACCCAAGGCCATATTCTAGCTACTTAAGGCGGGCTATAGACCTCCATATGAGGACTATATTGTCGCGTTGGCCTCCTCTGCTGGTTGCACGACAAGAACTGAAACCCACAGCTGCGCCCCTTCTTATTACACTCAACAGTTGCCCAAGATGATCATTGAAAAGCCCAGCTGATGTTAACCACCCCCTCACCCCTAATTTTGAGTATGTCCCCAACATACGAGTTCTCTTATGGGGAATGTTTAAAATAAGGGGTCGGAGGGGTGTTTAGTATTCATGTGAAGGAATTTTAAAACCTCGCAGCGCAAGTTGGAATCAGCCTAGTACTGGGTGGCAATTAAGGAACCTCAATTTAGGTTACTAGAATAAGGAAATCCTGTTATTTACTGCACACCCATATTATGGTAACTTTGTGTGAGCTATATTCTAAACTCCTAGAATCCCTCTTAATCACCCCTATCAAACACCTTGAGGACTTTAGACTGCAACTCATTTGAGTTCCTCAACAGCAACCCAGAGTAAGCCCTGACCTGAGGTTGCGGCTCCCTGCTGCTACCACCAGCGCGAGACGCCCCAAGGCACTTAGATCTTCAGTTGGATTGCCAGCCTCGGTGTTCACGTGAGGTTCGTACACCCTAAAACCCTAAAACCCCTAAATCTTACACCACCAACGTTAAACTCTGTGTGCAATGGCTTCATTCAAACTTCAAGGTGCGCTGCAACCAGCCATCATGCACAGCTGATGTTAAGAAGTTCTCCACGGGAGGATTAGGGTTTAGGGTTAGGGTTTTGCTGAGGAACGACAACCAGAAAGTCTGCCGAAAGGTGTGGAAGAAGACGACCGCACCTCAGGACCGAGGGCTAGTTGCGGCAATTCTTGGCTATTCATAACTCTCTTTGCGCAACCTGCCATTCTGAGGCAGGTGCTCTGTTTCTAAACCGAGGACATCCGCTGATGTGGACGTAGCTGCTTTCAGTGCATCCACAGGCGTCATCCTGCCATGCGGGCGTGGGCCAACTGCCATCTGCTACCACAGGCTTAGATACTTGTCAGGGTTTAGGGTTTAGGGGTTTAGGGTTGCTGCGGCCGCCTTCCTAGCAGCGTGTCACTAGTGGGTCTTGTTGTGATTACCGCAAACCCCGCCCCCCCCCACCCCACCCCTGAGTCAACCCCCCAACCCCATGTCCGCAACTCGTCCTCGCCATCTCAGCCAGCACCTCGATACCCCCACGAAGCGCATCATGAGGCAGGCCTGCAAGGCAAGAGAGCATCAAGAAATGGAGACCCTTTAAGGGCTATATAGGGATATATAGGGATAGATAGGGATATATAGGGATAATGGAAAAGAAAATGGAAACTACTATTTAGGGTTTAGGGTGTTGATTGGGTGGCTCTTAGCTAGGTGGATGGCTTTTGGTTACTTGGGGCTGTTCTTTCTACGACTCGGCTACCCAAGTTGCTCCTGGGATGGCCCCTGCATCCGAGGAGGCAAGCAGCTGAACTCCGGCAGCTCCTGAGCGAAGGGAGGCTCCGTCACTTCTTCTTCACGTACTGATTCTTAGTAGGGGATAAAGGAAGATACTAGGTATGGATTAAATAGGGATTATATTCCCTGATTCCCTGCTGAGCTCCGGGAAGTCTTCACTAGGGTGGCGCATCAAGAAAAACTGCAAAGCATCAAGAAGAATTTGACCTAAGAATCAAGAAAACTTGAAAAACGTGCGCAATGTATCCAAAACTAATTCGATAAGCATCAAGAAAAATTGAGGATCACTGGACTATACATTAGCAAGAATAAAATGAATGCGGAATAGTAGTACTCACAGCGAATACGGATATTACGTATACTGGTAGCAATACCGATAAGAACAATCGCTGGAAAGAGAATACGGCTCAAATTATTTCTGATGCTTGGCAAATGATTTTTAGATGCTTGGCGAATTCTTCTCGATGCCTTATCAAACTGTTTTTGATGCCTATGCCTCTTCACTGCCCCTAAGTACGGCCTTCCTTCTGTTCCACTCCTTTCTCTGTCTTCCATAACACTTCCTGCCGCCAAGAGTCGCAATTGCTGCAAGGCTGCACACATGCCTCAGGCCAGGAGCACAGCTAACCCCAGTGGCTGGACGTTGTCTCCGTGCAGACCGTCAATGATGCAGGGGCCATCTTGCTATCGTGTCTAGACCAAGCACTTCAAATGTCATCCCCACATGCAAGGCTTTCAGTTTTTCTTGGTTGGCTTCTATGGCCCTTTCAAGAAATTTGTCGCTGGGGCCCCTATCAAATGAACTGGGGAAGTGTTCAAACATCCCAAAGACAAACCCAGTTTTTTATCTACGCCGAGATTCGCTTGTAATTCCGCTCGCCCATAGGCTTGTATCGCCAATTGGCATGGGCAGTTGGCGCGACAGCAACACCCTGTCGTGCCATTGCCTTCAGGAAGGGTACTAATGATAACTGTAAGAACAGTAGTAATAGTAGTAAAACTTGTGATAGTAGTACTAACAACGAAGAGGATAATGGCTGAATATGGCTGACTCCATTGCAAGACCAACCCGTCAAGCTACAGCAATCAGGTTTTGGGGGGGGTCGACTGCTTTTCGATGCTTCATGACTTACTGGTTGTCAGTAGGGAATATGGGAATATATCATATGGGGGTTATATAGGGATTATAGTTCCTTATTCCTACGAATAACCAATTAAATTCTGAGTAAGGTGTTGCGTGGTTTGGCATCTTGCCCCCTGCCAGCTTCAGCTGGAATGAGAACGGGTGCCCTTCTGGCCTCCACGGTGGCGTCATCCACGCAGCCCCAGCTGCCTGCCTTCGCTATCCAGGTGCAGTGCTCCACGGTTCGGCAGCCTGCCTGCAATGCTGTCACATTTACAGTCTGTAACTGGTGTGGTGTTTCCATTTTCTTTTCCATTATACCAATATAAGCCTAATATACCCCTATACCACCCCTATAACATCCCTAGATTTTCCCAGGCATCTCTAAGACCCATGACATCCTACGACATAGAGTTTAGGGTTCAGGGTTTAGGGTGTCCCCATGGCGCCTGTACTGCATGGATGACGCCCTGCGCGCCGTGCGCGTGCGCCGCCACGGCCAGCGACTTCTCACGAGCTCGAGCTACGACCTGGAGATGACCAGTTAGGGGGACTAGGGTTTAGGGTTTAGGGTGCATTTAAACCCAAGCATTTAATATTGAGGTAGGGGTTCTTGTTGTAAAGAAATTAATTAAATGCCTATAGCTAAATGCTTCCTAGGGTTCCTAAGACCAGGGCCCATGCGGGAACATCGAAGCAAAGACGACTGTAGAGATGCCTAGTGCACCGCCTAAGTCATGTCCCTACAAAACCTATTCCCCATAGAGTCCTTATATAAGTCCCTATATAACCCTTCTAGAACATAGTCCCTATAATCTTACTTTTCCCTATATTGTCCCTATAGAATCCCTATATACCTACTAACCTTTAGAAGGCCATTTGAAGATTTGAGCCAGTCGTTGGCAGTTTGAAAGCTCTCATTCTACTTACTGGTTCTTGTACGGGAAAAGGCTTAAGCACGCGCATCGCACTCGGCAGGCAAGATATGAGGTTTAGGGTTATAAGGTTTCTTTAAGGTTAGTAGGGAATAAGGGAATATAGGGATTATATTCCCTTTTTTCTACTAAGACCCGATAAGTCTGAAAAAGCGCGCCTCTTTCAGGTCCTGCACGCTGAAGGCTGCCTCCTGTCCAGCTAGGCTAGGAAGTGGACGAATGAAAGTAGCTTAATAGTTATGAGCGAATTTGGGGGTCTCCCAAAGTAAGGCGTCCCTTTTTTGGGGGGGCCTTATTAAAGTTTTTTTAGGTCACTGTCTGGGTACGTACCTCTATTTTGGGAAACTACCATGTAATCCCTATATGATATCCTCACATTTCTTCTAGCACAGTAAGAAGTGGAGACATGAGGCTAGCCTGTCCACTGTGCGCACCTCAACGTTGGTGCCGGGCGTCCGCATTCCTCCTGTCGCCATGACCTTGATCCAGTCCACGTTGTTCTGCACCTGAGGAAACCCTAAACCCTAAACCCTGCTTGGAGGTCCATTGTACTTATAACCTACTTAGTAACTGTAGTTATAACCTAAATATAAGTCCCATAACTACAGTTACCCTAGATATAATTGGGTTATAACTACAGTTACTAAGTAGGTTATAAATACAATGGACCTCCAAGTGTGGCAAGAGGGCAGGAGTGCAAGTGTTGCTTCACGTGATTCACATGATAGTTTTCCCAAAGTAGATCCCAATATATATCCCAAAAATGCAGTAATCTTTCAGTGTAGAGACGCCAAAAGGGTACCCCAGACTTCGGGAAACCCCCACATGTTCTGCATACCTTCCAAGGTCCACAACACCACCCCCTAAACCCTAAACTCTGAATCCGAAACCCGAAGTGCTAAACCTTAAATCCTAAGCCACTTTAACTCCTCTTCCGGCCTGTCGGTCGACCACTGCCAAGGCCTCGCCCAAGGACCCCGCCTTAGCAGTGTAGGGCTTCAGGGTGCCTGGGTTTTGGGTTTTAGGGATTTTGGGTTGCTTCAGGGTGCTTGGGTTTTGGGTTTTATGGCTTTTGGGTTGTAGGGTTTTAGGGTTTTAAGGTTGTAGGGTTTAGGGTTTAGGGATCAGTGTCTCAGGCAGAAATCTTACTAGGTTCAACCACCAAAAAAACGCTTCTCAATTTGAGCTGCATTCATCCTATGGGTTTCAAGGGGTCATGGGGGTTATGGCCAGGCGATGTTCCCCCACAGTAGTGGAGGATCAAATTGAACATAGAAAAGGAAAGGTGGTAAGCTGGGGCTATCCAGATGTTAGATCGAGATTAGGACTTGAGGACTCCTCAGAATAGTATAGTCCCCCTTGAATAGATACAATTCAGGGTATATGGAGATCTTATTATAAAATCAGCGAGGCCATATTCTGTCTACTTAAGGGGGACTATAACTTAACTTAGCAGCAGCAACGCGGCTTGCTCTTCCGCTTTTTACCCATGGCGTTAAGGTGGTGCAAGATTTCCTCCATCAACAGTATCCCCAAAAAAATTACTACTCAATTCAATCTCTAAACCCTAAACCCTAAAGCGCCTCGCCGCCCCACTGGTGGCAGTGGCCTCCAGGGACTGTTAGTGGCTGCCCGGCACAAAGCCTCAGTCAGGGGGGGTGTAGGGTTTAGGGTTTAGGATTTAGGGTTTAGGGTTTAAGGTTTAGGGTTTAGGGTTCAGTCAGGGGGTATGTTATGCAGGGCTGTGTAGGATACATTAAGGCAGATTCCCAGGGGGACAGGCCATTAAGAAGTACCCTTATGCTGTTGCAGCAGCCATGAAGCAGGCGAGGGCCCAAGCATTCCCCCTGGCGGATGGCATCACGAAGCCCTTAGCCCAAGCAACAAAAAGAAGTTTCTGCCAGGCCGGAATCTCGCATGATGCTTCAGATGAAACAACCCTTAATTTGCAGGTTTCCCAAAATTCGGGGTACTATTTTTCGGTCCCTCTACTAAGGACAAAATGCATTTTGCGGTTCATATTGGGGTCCCCTATTTTGGAAAACCACCATTTCTTTGACAGGGAACCCACGGCCGCAAAGTTGCGTCCCCCCAAATCTCTTGCGGTAGTGATCCTTGGCACGCAGGCTCACTTACCTGCAGTCTCCACAAGTGCTCCACACCAAACCCTAAACCCTAAACCCCTTTACAACTATGAGATGCAAGTGCTGTAGAGGTTACGGGGGGCTCCGTATGGCTTGTTCTCAAAATTTTGGGCCCCTTCTAGATTATATTACAGCACCTAGATGATATTCAGGGCTACGAAAATGGGACCATAATTTTGGGAACTACCCTATATGTCCCTGTATATCCCTTTATAAACCCTATACAAACCCTATATACCCCTATATGAACCCTATAAAGACCCTATTCATGACAGGAGTCCCGTTCCGCAACATACGCGTGGCCCGCTCAGCCATAGCTTGTCGGAGCTGTGCCGTCGTCAGCTTCGGCTGCTCATGAAGCCTGGGTTAAAGGTTTAGGGTTTAGTCTCCTTGGAACTATAATAAACGGACTATTTCTAATAATTCCTTAGGGTTATACTACTTTTAAAAAACAACAAATGAATTCCTAAGAACACTACAGGAGCGGGTGGTGCTCGCTGAATTCCATGTGGACCTCATTGCGCAAGTCAAGGTGCATCTCTAAGCAACGTGCGGTCAACTATTACTACTAGAGTCACTAGAGGGTACCACCAATATTAAACTGTCATTGTGACTACCGTTATGACCCTGGATTCCTGGATATTCTCATTGACTGTTTTTTCAAACCTGGAAGCAACTGGATCCTTGCTGACTTCAGCCAAGCGGCATGCGCGTCAATGAGTCCAGGCATTACCGTGCAGCCAGGGTAGTGTTCCACAGGCAAGCCCAGATCGACAGCCTTCCGGCGGCATCGATGACACATGAAGCCCACTTAAACATGGCCGGATCACAGCCAGAAACTTAACACAAATCCCTAAACCCTGTTCCAAACCTAGGGCCCCTCAAGACTCAAGGGCACGTGTCCTGAACATGAGCATGTCTCATGAAGCCTTGCAGGCCACTTTTCAAGCTGGCATGTTTTTCTATCGGAAGCCTCTGCAACGCTGCAGATGCGCAGAATGCGTTGCCCACGGACAATGACACACTGCCTGAGATGCCAATCAAGATCAATGGAGGATGCTCTGAACACTCGCACCACTGTCCCCCATGACCCCCAGTCTCCACTTAATGTTCCATGCCCTTTTCCATTTGATTCTCCATGATTGGGGGACTACGTCCCCGTATAAACCCTCCATATGTCCTCATGTATTCCTAGATAATCCCTGCATATCCCCATATGTCCCCAGGTATCCCTAGATAATCCCTGTATACCCGCACCCCATGTATCCCTACACGAGCTTATACAATCCCCTTTCTAAAAGAGCCGCCGGGCAACCCTGGAATTGCGGCTTGCGCATTCCCATCCCAAAGCAGGTCGCCAGCTAAGGCCCAATCATCCTCCTCCAAAGGCCTGCGGCATGG